TATCCTTGTGCATTCATAATAACGGATTCTTTTCTCACTTCTATCAGACGATGCTTAACTTAGTAGATATATGTGTTTGAAAAGCTTGGTCTCAATACTGATTTGAAGCATATATTTGTAAATTGTCGGAGGTCGCATGCAGCTAACAATTATATGTGAAATACTTGAAATGAACTGTTTTAATCTTTTTAAATAAATCAAAGTATTCTGTGTTAAAGATTTTAGTCACAAATATCTATAAAAAAAGAAAAGAAAAAGAAGCAGAGTAGCACGTGGATATTTTACGTTTCCTAATGAATTGTCAAAAAAAAAAAAGGATCCTATGATTCCGTTTCGTTCTATCATGAATTTTAGATCAACTTTTGGGGCTTCTAAGACGCCAAAGATATAATTATTTTTCCAGTTTAAACCTAGAAAGCTGTCTATTTTCATTTATTCTTTTTAATTCGTTCTACCTTCAATGATTTTTACGAAAACTTTCAAAAGAAAACGGATGATGTAACTTTAAAAAAAAACTGGCCAGAAAGCTAGTTTAACTTCTCAATTAGTTTATTTCTTGTTTGCGTGCAATCTATATGTTTGTATGAATTTCTATGAATATTATCTTACAAGGTATGCTTAACTGAACAAAAAAATAATGAAAATAACTTAAGGCTGTCCAAAAAAAAAAAAAAAAAGAGAAGAAAACTACGAAAATTGACGTTGTTAAATGTTAGCCTCATTTACATAATGGCTACCTAACTGAACAGTGTTGTCAAAAGCTAAATAATAAAATAAGAGGAGTCATCACCAAAACAGTACATATGTCTACTCCCCAAATATTCAAAACGGAGAATCTAACGAGCGACCAACAAGAGGCAAGCAGGGTCTTTCCCTGCTGCCTCCCTGAAAACCTGCTAATTGTGAGCGGGCAATGAGTTCTCTTATTGAAGATCCTGAGATTCCGTTAGTCGGTATGAATAGCCACAAGTGTCGCTCGTATTCCAGCACCTACAACGAAGATGTCAAAGGCGCCTCCAACAGTATTGCCAGCATTCGACGTTACGGCACAGTCGGCAAGCGGCTGGCCATTCGCCGGGAGCTGTTTGAGAAAAGGCGTCGCCTCGGCGATGTCTCACTCCTTCTCGCCACTTGCGGTATCGTCCTGATGATGATTGAGTTGGAGCTTTGTCTGTCTTCCGTCATTGATAAGACATCGTCGACATCCTTCTTCGTGAAATTGTGCATTACCATCACGACCATTGTCCTCTTGGTCGTACTCGGACTATACCACCGTGTTGATATAAAGCTCTTTACTATCGATAACTGCGTGGACGATTGGTGTCTGGCCATTGACCGGACCCGCGTACTCAAAATCGGACTCGAACTGCTCATCTGCTGTGTTCACCCGATTCCCGGGACTTACACCAACGTTCCTTTCACGACGTCGCCCCCACAAATGACTCCGGCAGCGGCTGTGGCGCCTGGGGCAGCTGTTGCCGCCGCCGCTGCAGCTGCCGCCGCGGCCGACGCGACAACACCATCGCCGCTGTCAGCCGCACTTTACCCTTTCAGCGCCCACGCAGCTCCGACAACTCCGGTATTGTCTCTGGAAAAACCTTCCCCTGCAGCGTCAACGCTTATATCCCCCTCCCCGGCCCCGTCATCTTCCTCTTTTCTAATCCCAACGTACGACGTATTCCTCGCTCTCCCTATGTTTTTACGCGTGTATCTACTTTGTCGCAGTATCATGTTACACAGCCGTCTTTATGAGGACGCCTCGTCACAGAGTTTGGGAGCGTTGAACAGAATCCATTTCAATTTTGCGTTTATTTTTAAGTCATTTATGTCTTTGCATTCGGATTATGTGCTTATCATGATTACAATTACGGCCTTTCTGATTAGCAGCTGGTGTTTGCGTCTTTGCGAGATTCAGTTCCGACCGACCGAAGCTACTATGTTGAATTCAATGTGGCTAATCGCAGTCACGTTTCTATCGGTTGGTTACGGAGACATTGTTCCCGTGTCGTACTGCGGCCGGGCAATTGCTGTTATCACAGGAATTATTGGAGCAGGTTGCACGGCCCTGGTCGTAGCCGTGCTGGCGAGGAAACTGGAACTGACGCGTGCCGAAAAATACGTCCATGACTTTGTCATCGATGCCGATCTCAATAAGCGAATTAAACATGAAGCTGCCAATGTGTTGAGGGCCGGTTGGCTTATTTACAAAGCGAACAAGAATCATGCGTCAAAACGAGCTGTGAATGAACACCAGAGAAAAATGCTGCGGGCCATCTACAACATACGGGAGAGAAAGGCGCAACAGCGCCGCCTATTAGACAGCACTGTCACCTTGGTGGAGGTGAATAAAGGACAGTCAGACATGTCGGTTAATATAGATCAGCTGCGCAGCAAGCAGCAGGCGATGGAGGAACAGATTTACAGCATTCGGAAGGCCGTACTTGGAGTGCATGAAAAGCTAGATAAGCTTTACCACGTCTTAAATAAAAGTCCCTCCTGACTTGATTTTAACTTTTTTTTTCTTTTTCTTTTCTTTAAACACACCACACGCAAACACAGACTCACGCAAACACACGTATACACATATATGTATAAAGGATAAAATATGTATATGTATACATTCGAACACTTCAACTGTGTTATTGTTATATATATATATATATATATATATATATATATAAATAAAGTGTGTAAATATATATATATATATATATATATATATATATATATATATATATATATATATATGTATGTTGTATAAATATATATTCATTATATATATATATATATATATATATATATATATATATATATATATATATATATTGCCATTTTGTCGATATTGTTAAAAGGATAAGGAAGACAAATACTGAGCTCATTTTTTTTCTTTTTTAATGGAGAAAAGTAAAAATAAAAACGTTCGGGAGAAAAACAAAATGAAAGTAATTAAAAATAACAACAGTAAAAAAAAAAAGCTTTGATATATTCCAAAAAAAAAAAAAAATGAAACAAATACATTTTTTCACAGTTCTGTATTCTGTGTGGAAAAAATGCGAAAGAATCATTTTGGAAATTTTTTTTAGATTCCTCACATTCAAATACTGTTTTATTTGTTTATTTATTTATTATTATTATTATTATTATTATTATTATTATTATTATTATTATTATTATAAATATTTATAAATTTTGTTTTAAAGATACAAAAATGTCTAGCGACAGGAAAAGCTTTAAATCAAGAAGAAAATCAGGAAAAAAAAGTTCACATATGGCATAGGAATGGCAAAGTTCTTATTTGCGAAAGTGTGTTTGTATGTGTGCGCGTAGGCTGTGTGTGTATCTTGTGTGTGTGTGCGAAGAAGTTAACGCATGTATGCGAGTGTATTTGTAGCGTGTATATATGTGTCTCTCTAGCTGTGCGTGTGTGTGTGGGGGGGGTGTTTGTGCGCACAGGTGGGTGTGCATATTACAGATATTGCCCGTTCTCAAATTCTGTAATGAGCAAACCTTTATCAAGAAAATCACTCCGGCATAGAAGGCCATCTTGAACCACGTGATCATCATAATAAAAGTAATAGCGAAACACACGCAAACATGCACACATACGATCGCACACACGCACATATATTTATAATGACACGCATATTCCTAATTGTGCGTATATAAAGAAATACATGAAATATTTTATATATATATATACATATATATATATATATATATATATATATATATATATATATATATATATATGTATATATATATATATATATATATATATATATATATATATATATATATATATATATATATATATATATATTCACTTCTAAATATTATTTATCCATATTGTACTCCTTTTGAAGAGCTATTAATAAAAATGCATTCAAACAGACGTATATGTATATTCATAAACATGCGCTACACACACGCATATATATACACACACACACACACACACACACATATATATATATATATATATATATATATAATTTCTGAAATCTTCTAAGACATTGCTCTAATTATTGGACAAATAGTCCATGTCTCGTCAACGGAAAAGACACTTACAATAAGAGAAATTGTGAATTACTACAATATTCAAAAATTTAGCGTCGCATTACTGCGCGCTCAAAAACATTCTTAACTGTTAATAATACCACACATTTTTTAACATCTTTCGACAAGTATCATATTCAATTTCGTCTTGGAATTTTACCTTAAATTACTTGAAATTGAGAAAAAAATTTATGCCTGAGGATGGTAAATGTTTTTACCGAAAGTACTTGCAAGCAATATGGATCGAACATCTAATCCATTGTACAATTAATAAAAATAAGGACTGTGTCGTTCATCGAGTTGTCAGTGAGTTAATGCCTTCTTAATCTGTTAGCGAAGTGAGTTCGCCATTAATTACATTAACTTTATTGATTTATTCTTTTTTACAATATTAATTAAGCTGAATTTAATATATATAATATATATATATATATATATATATATTTAATATATATATATATATAAAATATATATATGTACGAATATGAGTAATCGAATGACATAACAGAAAAAAAAACTCCAATGTAACGCCTTTCGATCTTAGAAGGAAGGCTTCTTCAGAGTATTCATGCTTTTTTCGTTGGAGTCAGTCTTCTAAATATTGGGCTGGGGAAAAAATACAACAAACGCAGGTTACACTTCTAAATCGAAACCGTCAAAGGTACACGGTTGTTAGGTTTTAAACTTTAATTCTAAAATTTAGCCGCTTTAGCCGATTCCATTCAGCTTTCTAAACTTCTAGATAATGTTTTCGATGTGAAACTGTAGCGAGCCTTTACTGAATGTCTTTCACACACCCACCTTCTTCTCTATATAAGACTTACTCGATCAGTAAAATGATTAGAAAGAAAGAAAGAAAAAAAAATAGAAAAAATGACAAACTAGAAAAAGTTTTCGTGTGACGCGTTTTGTCCTTTAGGAAGCTTAACAGACTAAAGTGATGTTTATGTTAATACAACTACATATGTGAATGAAGGGGAGGAGACGCTGAGAATTTTAAATTTCTTTTTTGGATATATAGTCTAGCTATATATTCTATATATAGACTATCTATAGTCTTCATTTAGTTTCTTTTTCTTTTTCTTTTTTTTTTTGTTTATGTACTTATTACTTTTATTATTAAACAACCCACATTGTGATAATAGAAGATTTGCAAAGAAAGGTGAAAAGTTTTAAGAACCTGATTTTAATATTACTGTCGATAATCTAACGATTAATGCACTTTGTACATATTTTCATCTTAAGAAATTACTTTCTGTTGCTTATTAAAGTATCATTTTAAAATCAAAATTATGGTCAGACTGATTAAGTGAGCAACTAATGCATTTAATATGCTTTTTAAAAGAGGTTTTTGTGTTTATATACTTATGACTAGATGTTAAACCCCTTTACATCAACGTTAATATTAACAAATGGTTAACTCTTAAAAAATCTAACGCAATAAAAATTAAAGCTCTCCCTACATTTTAATAAAACTCATCACCAATCAATGCTATTTCATATTCAAAAAAGAGTGATGCTATTAAGAAAAAAATATATGTTAAGAAAGAGAGTTACCCACCCCAAACATACACAAGAACGTGCTTTAATCATTAAATGATCATTACAGTAAATTTACGTCAAAGTTCTTACATTTCGCCATTCTAAGCAGACCTTCTATTATCACAATGTGAAATATCTAAAAAACAGTTCGAAACATGATAAAAGAAAGTAAATTAAATCAGCTAGACTATATACCCAAATCATATATTTAAAAAGCAAATTAATTAATTTTTTTAATTTAACATTCTCAACGTCAGCATCTCTTTCGCGCGCATGTCTGGTCGCATCAACGTAAAGACCGCGTTAGTCTGATGAAGTCTCAAAGTGCGAAACGCGTCGTAGAATTTTTTTAATTTATTATAGTATTCCCTAAAATTATTCTTGATCTATAAAAAATTATATATCGTTTACGCATAGATAGATAGATATCTCTCTATATACATACAGAAAGATAGATAGATGGATAGATGTATAGATAGATGGATAAATAGATAGATAGTTCTTTGTGTGTCTGTGTATATATATATATATAAATATATATATATATATATATATATATATATATATATATATATATATATACATAGATATATAGATATTGCTACAAATATATACATAGAGACAGATCACACTCTCTCTCTATATATATATATAGATATAGATATATAGATAGATATCTATATACATCTATATTGACAGATCTCTTTCTCTCTCTCTCTCTCTCTCTATATATATATATATATATATATATATATATATATATATATATATATATAGAGAGAGATGTTTAATTTAATTTTTTTCCGGCTTATCTTCTAATTTCCAGCAGTTCTCTCTCTCTCTCTCTCTCTCTCTCTATATATATATATATATATATATATATATATATATATATATATATAAGCGTTTCATTGAATACGAAGGGCAAGCAATATTTAGTCATTTTATTGTCTATTGTATTCAATGAAACATCTATAAAAGAAGCATCGATGCATATATATATATATATATATATATATATATATATATATATATATATATAGATAGATAGATATAGATAGATAGATAGATAGATAGGAGCACAATAATTAGAGCATTATCCTATACAGGTCTTCCCATTAATGTATATGTATTGTTTGTTACAAGCTCACTTTTTTTAATATGAACTGAACACTTTCTGAATAAAAATATACATTAGAATAATTTATAAAAATAAGCTTTCGATGTTTATGCTTAAACGATGCTTTTTCAGTGTTCAAAATTCCCTTCTGCCACAGCAAGCTATAGTTTGCATTTTCAAGAGATTCGGTTGCAAACACCAATTCACATTAATCTTATAATGCTGCTGCGACCATTGCCATTAACTGCAGTCGTTAATGCTTGAATTCTAGCGAGCGTAGCAGCCTAAACATTGTAAAGTTGGTACAAAAGAGATGAAATGGTGCGAAATCCAGTTTATAAAGTGGATAATCAACATTCACATTTCGTTAGAAATATTTGCTTAGGCAACGAGAATGAAGAGGTAATCGATCTTGTAAAAAAAATATTACCTCCGTTTCATGATTATGAAATTTCAGGAACATGAGTCACTGAGGCATGAAGCATTGTTTGTAGAGATTTTGGGATACACAGCATTTCAGTAACCCTACTTATATACATAGGTATAAGAGTATAGACTTAGATAAGAATAACTTTTATCAATTTAGGGTTTATCAGTTGTATAGATTTTTTTGTTTTGTTTTTTTGTCTGGATTTCTTAGACGACGAGTTATCATTTTTTACACTATTTATATTCAGACTATTGTCCTCATCATTGTTGTTGTTATCACAACGTTCCGGCCGTTGTATCGATATACACCAAACTAAGATCGGAAGGCAGAACGGCCGAAATTTTGTGATAAC